ACCAAGATGGAATGTGTTCCACAGATACAGCTTTGAAGCTGAATCGGTGTACTGATAGAGATTCTGTTTAGAAAGTGGTCACAGCTACCTGGTTTGCATGTGCCACGAAGTTTAGTCAAATGATTCGAGCGAAAACGAGGTGAAGAGTAAGTTAAATAATGGATAAATGGTCACAATACTTCTAAGAGTATGTACCAAGATGGAATGTGTTCCACAGATACAGCTTTGAAGCTGAATCGGTGTACTGATAGAGGTTCTGTTTAGTATGATCCTTGGCGCATTTGGTCAGCCTATGGTCATAGTTGCGTTTTGCTGTTCACATCACGTCGACCACTGCGTTCCTGAAGGCTGTGGTGCGCGTCCAAGCTAGGCAGCTCACAGAAATTTTGTACAAGAGCCAACTTCGGTTTCTACGCTTGATGGCCCTGTCTATCGCCGCTCGTCTCTTATCGGTTTGGTTAGGTGTCGTCTGGGTTTCAATGGCGCGAATTCTTCTTGAAGTATGTGCAGCGATTGCTTAATTACTTTCCATAGCACTTCGATGCAACTTACTTCGTCGTCCCAGGCTAGTTGGGCCGCTCTGCTACGGGGAACATTTACGTTCATGGTTCCAAAGTTTCTAACCATTTCAGTAGTAGCTTTCGGATGCTGCATGAAGAATGTAAGTTGCATACATGATCACTCTTACCTATTGGTGGCAGTATCTTTAATTCTATGACATCTGTAGGGTGCTTCGTAATCACCAGATCTAGTAGTGACGGGAGGCCGCACGTCCTGTACCTGGTGTTGTTTTACTTTTTGCCTCATTACCTTTTCATGGAGCCACTCCAGAAATACGTCTTCCTGAGTTCATGATGGGCTGGTTTCAAGCTTCCAATCAATACTTGGCATGTTGAAATCACCCGCCATCAGAGTCTTGCCGGGTTCCTTCACCAGGTCTTTAAGGACGCGGAGTTTAATGTCCTCATCACGACTCGAAATAGGGGACCGATAGATGCATATCACGTTAACTTTACTCCTCGGAAGGATCAGTGTGAGAGTGCATACTTGAAGATTCCTGGTGCATACCTGCAGTGATTGCTCATGAATTATGTAATATTTTGTTTCATTGAACACGATAATCTTGTATATTTCTAATTTCCGCTTATTACAATTCCATTCTGCCTCTGAGTTGACTTCTGGTTTCGTTTTGAGTCCTGGTTCTGGGTCGAACTATTAGTGCGCGGAATCCGATACGTATACGAAATACTAGTCCGAGTACGAACCACAACAACTGGCTTCGCGGTCATTTTGAACCAATCGAGTCCTGTAATTTGGAGAACTTGAATATACATGACAGTGAGCACGAAGTCAAAGACTATCTTGAACGGTTCGAGATTTGGTGTATTACGTAAAAAGGACTCGATGGAGAACGCAAAACGGCTTATTTCCTAACGGTCATCGGAAAGGATGCATACTCATTGTTGAAGAATTTGGCATTTCCTGACTCTCCAATATCGTTGTCGTATGAATCCCTTAAAACCTTGCTGGTGAAGCATCTACAGCCGGCTAATTTCGAAGCTGCGGAACGAACCAAATTTCATTCACTCACACGTGGTGGAAGCCAACCTGTACGTGACGTTATTCTTCAACTTCAGACTCAAGCATCTCGTTGCAACTTCGGAGATCAATTACAAACCCAGTTACCTGATCGATTAATTGCCGGTATTAATTGCCCGGAATTACAGCAAAAGCTCCTGCTCATGCATGATTACACATTTCAGTTGGCTACGGCAGTTTGTGAACAGTACCAAGACTTCCGTGCCATTATTTGTGATGAACCCAACTTGTTGTTCAATGCCAGCAATTCCAAACAGTCACCGTCCCGACGAAAGCGGTTTTTCGAAAAGGGCTCAAAAACACCAAGCAACATCAGTTCTCCGGCCCGCAATGACCAATGCATTTAAAGATGGATTAAGTGCAATTCCTGTGGTCAAAGACAGTCGTGGCTATCCTGTTGATTTTGAAATGCCAAGTGTCACAATTGCGGTAGGCATGGCCATATCCAATCTGTCTGTAAAAAAGCGAAGTCGTGTCTTACCAAAAGTACGACTGTCCATTCCTCTAAAGACTTATTGTGTGATTTACAGTCCTTAACTCTAGCCAGTGCCAGTTCATGTCCCTCTCACCATATTACCCGCTACTTCATCATTAATGACTCCATTCACCATACATTCATTATGGACACCGGCAGTGTTGATTCTTTCATTTCCAACAAGGTATTTCGTCAATTAAACCCCCCAGTTGCACTTTTGGCACCGCGAGTGGTCTGAAGCTATGACGCGTCTACGTATTCANACTTTCCCCAACAGACATTTCAGTTGAGGGAATTACCGGTCATTTTTTTCGCGTCTTAGGATCATGCGAACTGCTTCTTAAAGACGATAAATCACAAACATTTCACTGCCCGTTTTTGGTTGTTGATTCCGGAATTTCTATAATTGGTTTGAATCGTATGCATCTGTCATTTTCATTCATGTCTGACTCCCATCAATCACGCCTTCGTCACCTAATATTTGAATGTTCCAAGGCAGAGGGTGGTATTAAAATGACTCCAGTGAGTCTCGAAGTGACCGGTTCTCCGGTGTTTATGAAACGTCGGATTATCCCACTTGGATTTCGTGAGCCCGTAAAAGAGGCGTTAGATGAATTGGTAAGCAAGGGAGTTCTAACACCCGTAAATTCTTTGGCTTTGGCCACGCCAATTGTTACTCCACTAAACCGTGACGGGAAGACTCCTAGGATATGTGGGATTATCGATTTACTGTGAACAGATATCTGAAACAGTCTAGTTGTGCCACCGTCGAACCAGAAGACATTCTGTACCAACTTCATGGATCCAAATTTTTCTCTAGTCTCGACTTAAAAGATGCATTTCTTCAAATTTTTCTTGATGAAAAGTCCCGTGAACTCACGACTATTAACACACCTTTTGGTTTATTTCGCTACAACTTTCTACCGTTTGGACTCAGTGTTTCCCCTGTTATTTTTCAAACTACTATTAATTCCATCATTTCCGGCTTACAAGGTGTATGCGCCTATCAGGACGATATTATTGTTCATGCGCCTAGCAGACACTTACATGACGAACGTTTGAGTGCTTTGCCTGAAAGATTCCGTTCTCATAATGTTTCTGTTAACCCTAGTAAATGTACCTTTGCTACGACTAAACTTTCTTGTTTAGGTTATTTGGTTGATGAATCCGGATTTCGTTCTGACCCTTATAGATTTTATTCGTTGACTAATGCTCCATCTCTCAAGTCATTCCATGAACTTCGTTCTTTAATTGGTTCTTTGCAATACTATTCCAAGTTTATCTTTAACTTTTCAACCCAAGCTGCTCCATTGTTCGATTTACAATCACAGTAAACATTTCCGGGGACTTCGGTCCAGGAACGTGCCTTGAGGAATTTACTTTCCTTTTTATTTACCAGTGATGTTTTACGTCCTTTCTCTCCACGATTACATTCTACCGTCTCACGGACGCATTCGTTGGAATTGGAACTGTAATGGAGCAGAATGGTCATCCGGTGCTGTTCATCTCACGCAGACTCACGGCTGCCAAACGTGGGTATTCCCAAACTCAACGAGAAGCTCTAGCTGTCTATTGGGCTGTCACGCGTAAGCACAAGTATCTTTATGGTACTCATTTCACTACTGTGAGTGATCATGAAGCACTGCAGTATATTTACAACCCTCAACGTTTCCTGGCTAAGTCATCTGCAGCCATGGTACACCGATGAAGTATTGCGTTGTTTGCCTATTCCTACAACATCCATCATTGCAGTGCGCAGTCCATTCCACAGGCAGACTGTCTATCACGCTAAGCCATTTCAGAGGAGGCTTCTACGGGTGATTGTCAACTCACCAAACCTCTCCCGGTAAGCCGATCTGATCTAGTTCGCGAGACCAGGAAATATCACCACGCTATCATTTTCTGTGTCCGTCGAGGTTGACGAGGTAATATCAAGCGTCGATTTCCGGAATTCTATAAACATCGTGAGGAAATTTCTGTGATGTGTAATGGTGTCTTTTGCCACAATGATCGCATTATCGTACCTCTGACATTACGTACTGCTGTTCTCAATGACTTTCATTCCGGTCATCTCGGCATTGAAAAGATGAAATCTCTTGCTCGTCTCACATGCTTGTGGCCAAATTGAATCATGATCTGAATCGTGTTGCGAAATCTTGTGCTAAATGTGTGCACAAAACTCACAGACAGCCTTCGAAATGGACTCCGTGGCCAGTA